CAATGGAGTAGGTAAAAACTTGTTCATTATTTGATTCAGAATTTACCGAGCTAACTTGATTGATTTGCCATTGGTCTGATGAGCACAAGCTAGAACTTGCTTTCAGAGTTAATAGTTTCCATTTAAAATATCCATGAAAAGGGCCACCCCAGAGAAATTCGAATTTCTCATTGTTTCTCTCTTGGCTCATTACAGATGTTTCAAAGTTGGCTCCGTAAATTAATATCCCTTCAACTACACCATGGATGGAACTTAGTAACATTAGATCTTTTGGCACATTGACTTCATAGGATTGCATTATATCGTTTTTGGCTCGACCAACAATAGCCACGCTATGACTTGATGTTTTAGAAGGTGGCCACTTAATGTCGGACACCAGTCTATGACCCTCGCCCATATAAAAATCATTAATTATATTTTGAGCCTTATCAAGTACAATTTGCGATGAGAAAACAACAAGAAAACATTTTAAATCAGATTCTTCAAATGATCGGCTATCGTTGGATTTAATACTGGTAACTCGTAAAATTGAGTCTGTTGAATACCCGAGCTGCTCTACCGTATGATTTAAGAACGCTGTTAACTGCGATAAACCCAGTAGTGGGTGAGAATGCCACACATACAATAGAAATTCTAAAGGGGTAGGGCTAGTCACTACGGAGGGCTTCGTCGTTATAGAAATTTTGGGGGTTTGAAGGTGATTTGAAGTAGCAAGTCTAGTACGATCATTGTGCAATGGTTTTGGTATGAACATTCGGCTATTAATTTCAAGCATTCGTGTATCCGTCTCAGCTATTGTAAAACCTGACTTTCCATAAGAATATTCTTCTTCATCATCCTGATTGAAAAAAGCTAATTTAGGCTTGTTGTTTTCAAGCGTCGATTTGGGGATCGGTGCACCAATTGTGAAGCCACCTACCTTTGAAGAGGTTGATTTGTGTTTACTTATCAAAGACATAGAAACATCCTCTTTGGCTAATGTTTTAAGCGGTACTGACGGGTAGAAAGTGGCCGATGAATTGGGTCTGACCACTGAATCTGGTCTGACATCTAGTTCTTCCTGCTTTTTTCTCTCATTGGCTTCTGAATCGTCTTTATCAATTAGTTCGAACGCTCTAGGCCGTCTTCTTCCACCCGAGCCACTTTTAATTCCCATAAATATTTAACTTGAATGAAAAAGGAGTAGAACTTGATAGTTAGTGGCTATTCTCTTTTTAAAGATGGACAGAAAAACGGATTTAGTCTCTTAGGCATTGGGATTTACCTATATGTACAGATTATGCGTGACGGGATCTCAACGGTCAGCCCTTCAAACCTAATATACTAACTATATCGAAAATAGACTGTTACAATATTACATTATGAATTTATTACTATTACAATTATTTTATAGCATCTTTTTTCAAAAAGAAAAACTCAGGTAGAGTACATTTGTGGAGATAAGCCTTAGACTTGACTAGTGAACATCTGTCTGGCAATACCAGTGCCACCCAATGTGCTACTGGCAGTGAACTCTTGATGCTTAATAGCTGCGCAAGCGTAAGAAATGGAGGCAAAAGTCAAGAAAATAGCAGGGACTAAAAGGGAAGTTACCTGAACAAAACAAGAAAAGTATTGAATCAAGGCCATGGCCAAGTAGAACCCAGCGCGGGGCAAGTTATTGTTGAAGGTCTTGATAAAGAACGTGAATCTGTCTGTCAAAGGACAGATCTTCAAGAAGAACGGAATTTCAACGAAAAATATGACAAGGCCTTCCACACTATATTATGAGCGTTAGATATACTGAGCAATTAATTATGGGTCTAAAAGTCTAAGAAAATATCAAGAACTTACATGCAAATGATGGAAAAGATAATGACTAAAGACGCATGAAAGATATTAGCAATTCCGAGGGCAATACACAAAAAAATGCTTAACACACCCAGCCATTGGCCGTAAATGCTGAAATTATAAGACTTGAACTCGTCGGTGAACGCCATACTGTAGTGGTTGTTTCTCTAAACTCCACGTGGATGTTCTGGAATCGCGGTTGCTGATCGTGATTTGGCGCTTCGTATTAGTTTCCGATAGAGTAAGGCCGGGTAACTGAATCTATGATCAGTATTGTTGATGTAGTTGTTTATAGAAGAAAAGACCAAATACCTGGTTGCAATATGCTTTAATTATAATTTCTAATTTCTTTGGAAATACAGATCATACTCTCTAAGAATACCCAATCTAATCTTAGGGTACGTTGCTAGGTTAGCTTATGCTCTATTGAATTAGTTCGCAGTCAGTCTTCCGTCAGAATTTTATATTTTTGTTGATTTTTAGTGATTATAACCAGTATTCACGGCAGCTATTTGTTATTGTTATTTTAATTTATAATCTATATCTTAATCTCATAATCTTGTTTATAGTGTAGATTAGAGCGTTTTTTGTGCACTAAAAAATACAATTTAGATTTCATCCTTTTAACGGCTGTACCACTTATTAAGGAAATTGCATAAATCTCTTGTCTGCGGCACATTTGCGTCAGTCTGATAATCAGTTAATATCATCATCGCACGAAGCGATCAACCTTAAAGGCTTATCAAGAAAGGAAAATCTATCTGAAAAAAAAAGGAAAAAGAGTGTAAATATTGTCAGAATGAAGCCCCATTCCGCCGGGAGTGATTTGAACTCACACATATCAAGCAATTCTACACCGATAAATACGCCCTGCCGTAATATTCTGATCCATGGCTTTTGCAAATACGCTGATAAAGGCTGTATATTTACTCATGATTTGACCAAACCATCGGTTGCAACGACAATGCCAGTAGAAACTACGAAAAATATACCAAGTCAACCAAAATCAGCCCCAGTAGCCTCCCCTCTTCCCTTATCCAAGAAGAAATTCAACCTTAAAACTCCTTCCTTCACACCAGGCGGGACTGATCTATCTGGAATAAGTAAGCCACTGCTCCCCCCTAAGGTAATTAAAAGCACATCTTTTGTTACCTCCAATTTACTTGCTTCAAAATCAGTATCGTCATTTGACTTTCAATCATTACCTACCTTTACCCCGTCAGCTTCAACATCTGAAGCTACTCTTGACTCATCAGTTGCGTCTTTGGCGATTGAATCACCAGCGCGTACCTCCCCAGCTTTAGTAGATTATGATAATATTATGACGGAACCGACTCATCTTTCATATCCAAGTGATATGCTCTATGAATCATCAGTGCCACCTTCACCTCTTAATGGACATTCAATTCATATGGGTAATATTACTAATTTTCCAGTGCAATATCAGCTCTACGCACCTGAAGCTATGAGTATACCTATCAAACCAAATGAACGGTTGGTTCACGATTATTTTATGCCATCCGAATTACGGGAACTTTTACTGAGAAAAAATGAAGTTTGCTTTCAGAACATTCCTAATTCCACATTTCCTCCGTTTGTAGGTGCATATCAGTCTCTAATGCCATTGGATATCTCCATAGATAAAACCCGATTAGATTTTGGTTATACAACCTGGCTTTATAAAGCATTGTCTAATATCGACGGTAATTTTTATTCATTAAGAAGGATTGAGGGCTATAGGCTAGATGATTTATCACCGATAGATGTTGTTATGGACAATTGGAAAAACGTGGCCTCGCCGTATATCACAAACATATATGACTGCTTTCCTTCCAATCAATTTAATGATGATTCATTAATCTTTGTTTATGATTTTTGTCCTCTTTCTAAAACTTTACAAGAGTACCATTTCCTCGCCAAAAGCCCGGTAAATGAGCAAATTCTATGGAACTACGTGGTTCAAATTCTATTGGCACTTTCATCAATCCATAAATGCGGTTTAGCTGCCAGAATAGTCGATCCGAAAAGAATATTGTTGTTACCTGGTAACAAGGTCAAGCTCAATAGTTTGGGTATATTTGATGTAATGGACTTTAATACCAATTCTGCAACGATAGAAGAGCTACAACAAAAGGATTTTCAAGACCTTGGCTTTTTACTGATATCTCTAGCTTGTGGTTCCTCATCCGCACCCAAACAACCTGAAAAATCTCTCAAATTCATGTCTACGGTATTTTCTGACGAATTTATAAGATTTATAACCTGCTTAATACACACTGAAACTACCAATATTTCCTCCAAGCAGTTGATTTCACAAATAACGCCTCGGGTTATTGACTTCTTTAGAAAATCACAATATTCTCAAGATAATTATCAATTAGAGTTATGTAAAGCCCTGGAAAATTCGCGGTGTTTCCGTGTCCTCACGAAGCTCGGATTCATAAATAGTCGCAGTCACAACGGTCTAGACAAAAATTGGTCTGAAGGCAGTATTAGGTATATCCTGTCACTTTTCAGAGATTATGTTTTTCATCAGGTTGATGAGAATGGTAATCCTGTCATTGATCTTTCACATGTTTTGGAATGCCTGAAAAAAGCGGATGCCGGTACTGATGAAAAGGTTTTACTTGTTTCAAGAAATGAAAAGAACTGTTTTATTATCAAATATACACAGCTGAAGGAATGCATTGATCTGTCAATGGAGGATCTCTCAAAAATTTAAGACACATATATATCTCACAGACTTTGAAATCTAATAATGTAAATTAGTATAATTAGACATAATTTAAAACCCATTTTTTTATTGATAATATTTGGTTGTCATTTCTGTAGGCATGTTTACAGGTTCTTCTTTCCGGGTTATTTATTGCCTAGACGGCCGGTTTATGGATAAGCGATTATAACTATGCTCCTCACTCTTATTATTCGTGTCCCACTTTACCCCATTGAAATATAATCCAACAGAGTCAAAAATACCCATGAAGAATCTCGCCGGTACACATTCACAAAAGATGAAAAAAGAACTCCCCACGCTAGGTAATGGGCAGTAATAGACACATAAAGACTATGAATTTAATACCGAAGACCATAGAAAAAAGAAAAATAACAATAGACATATACCGTTCGATAGGTCTGAAACATCTGTGTCTTATCGAAAAAAAAAAAAAAAATGATTGCTGAGGGATTTGAACCCTCGCCTCTTGCGAGACCCGAATGCACCTGTTAACAGATAAGAGTTTAACACCTCTTGAGTCGGGCGCCTTAGACCACTCGGCCAAACAACCATGCTATTGATTTAGGAAAAAGTATTGAGTAATTAAAAGACAAATATATTATACAAACCTATGTTTTGCAAAACTCTGATTTAATTTTCCCATTAGAAATTCTACATTTGAAAAGTATAACAAAATAATTTTTGAAATTTATAGTTTTTTCATCAAAGAATCTCAAAATCTGGTCATTAAGGTATGAAAGAAGATAATAACGCTTTGATAAATGAAATCTTACATGTTTATTTAAAAACCAGTTATTAAAAAAATTTCATGCATTAAAATTATTATTTCGCGTGACGCTATATATGAGCGCTTATTCAACAGAATATTTCATTAAAAAATAGATAATGATACTATATAAAAAGACACCTGGCACCTAGTTTGTTAGATACAATTTAAAATAAACAGCTCATTAGAATAGCCAAACAGGCTAAGCTTATAGCGGAAGAAAGCATGGTAACACCAAATGATGAGGCTCCGCTCGCTTGCAGCAAATAGTCAGATTGCTTATACGAAGGAGGAGCTTGTTGAACAACCTCAGTAACTCTTGAGCTTGACGAAATCTTGGAATCAGAGGATCTTGTAGAGCTTGACGATACCTTAGAATTGGAGAATCTGACAGCGTTGGAGGATACCTCGGGGTCCGGTGATACCAATGTAGTAGAATATTCTTTCAGATAAGGTTTTGTGTTTTTTCCCACAGAGAACGCTAAAGTTGACTTCACAGTAGCCAGGAGACTAAATGGAGTCGATTCAACGGGACTGTTTTCATTTAAAATAGGATTTCTGGACTTTTCATCTCTGTAAGAACTGTGATCAGAAATAGATGTGGCTAAATTAACCGCAGTAGGCTCATTTTTAGTACAAACGGGACAAGTTGTCAAAATGGTGGTTGATGTAAGAGTCTTAGTACCTTCAAGGTACGCAGTCTCATGCAAAAAGGTGTATGTGGCCGGTGAGGATTCTAAAAATTCAGTGATAGTTGCAGATGATGTAGGCTTGGAGGGGCATGTAGTTATATATTTGGTGACCTGAACATCAGTGGTGTAGGTACTGCCTTCTAAGGTTATCTTGGATTTGGTAGTATCCGTTAATGTGAAGGTAAACGTAGGGAGCCCTGTAGTAATGGCCGATTTTGACGTGATGATGGGGGTAGGTATTTGTGAACCCTTATCAAAGAACGAGGTAGAATATTTAGAAGAAATTGTACTTGAAAAAGAAGTAGCATTAGAAATATCAGTAATTTCAAAACAAGCTCTATCAATTGAGCCTGCATCAACCGTAACCTTGGTACCGTTCGCGCTTTGCCATGTAGAAACCAGATCAATAAATTCTATACAGACTGAAGCATCTCGTTTAGCGACTTTGGAATTAATATTACCGGTATAAGTATAATAAATGGTATATTTAGAGAAATCATCTTGCGGGCATATGATTGAAGAGATATCATGAATATGGTCTTTCGCTCTGAAACCTACCAGAACATAATTATCAAAAGATGGCACAGCTGAGATCTTTAGAGAGACTTGGGCAGTTAGGTTTTGAAATAATGTACCCCCGGTAAAGCTATATTTACTAGTGTACGGTTTACCGTCAACTTCAGATGAGGTTAAAGGAAAGTTACCGTCAGGAAGGTTTTGAAGCGTTTCTGCCGATGAAAAAGTAGACAAATAAATGACCAAGGCACTAGTAAGGGTTGGCAACGTCAATTTCATGATAATAGTAAAATTTCTTGAGATAGACTTGTATTAAGCAATTTAGGGAAAAGATCGTTTTTTAAAAGAAAAGCACAAGAAAAATACTGAATGTTTTAATTTCAGCTCATGAAGGTGGAGACTCCGGTATAAGTAGCTGGCGAAACTATGAGTTTTGGCATGACTTTTAACCTGAGTCGGCCCCTCGAATTAATCAAATGCTGCAAGGTCCGATCAAAAAAGTTGAATATTACATAAGATAAAAACATGAAAGTTAGTTGCACATAATACGCAAGCTTGATTGATTTATCTGTATTTAGATACTATTCAACCAGCCACGCAAGATCTCACACATGTAGAGCTCTACAGGGGATTCTCATGCGCTTCCTGGTGTGGGAACCTCTCTATATTCACAGATTAAACCTTTTTTTTTTTTTTGAAAGCGTAATATAAAAGAGTGTAAACCTAAGTATAGTGTAGGGATATTTAAAAAAACCCCTCCTATATCTTTTCGGTATTTTGTTATATTTTTCTAGAATCAAACCAAGACATTTTTTTGACATGCTTGTGATGGTGGCTAACCTGCAGTGTTCTGAACAGGATCAGCCGCAGTTCAGGATGCCGTTATCGAGACGTGAGTACCAAAGTAATGGTGGTGAAACCCTTGAAGATCATTAAAACATAACACTTATTTGGAATCATACATAGTTCAATGCCGACCCCAGGAGTTTGGACAGCTTAGTGTCAAGTTTACTTCTTAAAAGTTATTCTATTGATCCTTGAAACCTATGCCAGCTGGTTGAACCTACCCTTAGACAAACCAGTCGAATAAAAAATTCATAAGTAACTGGGTTTAAATGTCCATTAATTGTTGACCGCCATATTCAAAAAGAAAAGATGATTTTTTTATTTTTCTTTATTATGAATTTTTTACCTTCTAGCCTTGGGCTAATTTCTACTTGAGCAAAAGCCATGACATAATCTGTTTGGTTTACTCGTTGACAACTGAGCGCCTTCTAGAATAAGGAACAAAGTAGATCAAGTGAGAAAACAGTTTAACAGTTCACAATAACCCCATACCAGTGTTTTAACATTAAAGACTCACAAAAAAGATATTTTAGTAATACTATATTTAAAGGCGCTAGAATAACAGCGTTTGATTTTTGTTAACACAAAAAGTGAATTTCAAGTATTCATGATTTTATTTAATGTAAGCTTAAACTAAGTTAGTATCCTGAAATTTGGTCAGCATACTTGGCAGAGACCCTTTCAAATAACTCTTCCTTTTCCTTTAAATCCTGCAAATAACGGTTGGAAGGATCAACTGATTCGAGTGCTGATTCGTACTCTTCGACAGGCTTATCCATAAGGATGGCACAAGTAATGGCAGCGGTCAAAACATCAGGGTCCTGTGAGTTAATTTCTAACGCTCTTTGAATGTTATCTTGAGCTTCGGGAATTCTACCTAATTGGAGCTCGGTGATAGCCTGAGACACGATACTTCTGACAGAAGATTCGGAACTTTGAGCTTGTTCCTCGAAGATATAATAAGCTTGTTGGAACTTTTCACCACCAATTCTACAGCAAACCCAGGCTTCTGCCAAGTTATAAATAATATTGTCTTGCGCCCATTTTTTGGCAGCTTGAATTTCTTTGAAAGCGGCTTCGGTGTTATTATTGCCTAAATGAATTCTAACGATGACAGAGATAGCTTCCAAACTACCTTGATGGCCATTGAGCACTTGCAGAGCTTCCCCATATCTACCTTCATTGGCAAGAATAATACCAGCAAGTACTAAGACTATTTCGTTGTCTTCATTTTGGTGAACAAGGGATTCGATCTCAGTAACTGCTTGTCGGTCTCCCTTCAAGTACATAGCGTATACCAAAGTGGCACTTGTAGATGGTGTTGTAGGGGATGATTGAAGTTCAGCAATAGCTTCATCAATATCTCCAAGAGCCAACTTAGAGCGCAGTTTATAAACGAAGGCCTTTTCTTGGTTCACTTCAGAGAAATGAGTAGAGTCCACTGCTAAAACAGTTTCGTAGGCACCAGTAAAGAAAGCCTTGTAGATATGGAAGAGTTCTACACAATAGATAAAGTTAGTATGCTTAGAAAGGCTTGAAAATAATTCTCTTGTGTGTTAAAGAATATACATACCACTGTTGTCAGAAAAAGGGTCCATGGTTTATTATTGTTAGCTCTAATGTATACTGTCAAATGCTTGAAGGTACTAATATCCTAACTGAGTATAAGATCAAGACAATGCCGACGTCGCCAAAACACAACCCTAACCCACACACAATGGCCGTAAATATATGACACTCACTATTAAGGCGTAAAATAACTAAATAAAAATACTTTTTTGAAAAGAGTATTTTTTACGTATCTCAAAAGTTTATATTTAATTGGTTTTCTAATTTTTTAAAAAAAATTCTCAAAAACTAATTCAAAATATAATTGACTCATTTTTCTCTCGAGTAGAAAAGCCAAGCTTTACTATTGAATTCAAAAAGTCTTGAAGAAATCAGATATCCTCACCGAAATACTTCAAAAATGAAATCCTTTAAAATTTGCTTTTATATTAGAACATGAAATCATACCTCTGTTTAATCTTTGAATCTAAAAGTATCTCTCTGGCACTAGTGATATTTAAGGAAAAAAATAGGTAAATAGTTGTAATAAAGTTTGAAAATGACATTGAGTGAAAAGTCAAAATGTTTTTCCGAATTATTAGAAAACAGTCTATTAAGGGGTGGTTAATATTTAAAAACAATATTCTTATATGACTAAATATTTTTATCTACAAGCTTGTTCCTTGTGGCCCAATGGCAAGGCGTTCGGCTACGATTTCTGTCTCAGAAGCGTACGTTNNNCGTGTGTTAATAGTCACTACCGAAAGATTCCAGGTTCGACCCCTGGCAAGGAAGTTTATTTTTTGTCTTTATCTTATCCAGCTGAAGGACACAATTTTTAATTTATTCAGACTGCTTGTTTTTTTTTTTGATCTCACGCTGTACTTTATTATTGTTTTTGACCTGAAGAATAAAAAGGCCACTGCTTTTGAAGGAGACCTGGGATTAATCTATCTATAGAACTTTACAGACAAAGCCATGTGACTGCTATTTCAAGCCATATTCTATTACCTCGAAAACTAAGTGGACATGCATTCATTTGAGTGTAAGATAATTCCCAAGTATTTGGTTGTTAGCAAGTGGCAGGAAATATTGTCAAATAGAAAAACAGCCAATACCAAGAATTGTTTATAGTGATTTAGAATTTTCAGTATTTTTATTTGTATCAGAATAGTTACTTGA